GAACTCTACAAATATGTGATGGCTGCTTTTGATGGCAAATACGAATTCCCATTGGCTATCAGTGAACCACATTGTGGTTTCCCAGAACGTTTAGTCATTCCACATGGTTGGGCCAAGGGTATGCCAATGCAACTCTACTTCATCGTCACACCATACCACGGTAAATTTGATAAGCACTACAGTTTCGATTACACGTACTCTTGCGGCATTGGCTCTGGCACTCACTACGTTGATGACTTACCTTTCGGTTATCCATTCGATCGCGAAATCGATGAGTATGAATTCTTTGTTCCCAACTCATTCTTCAAGGATGTCAAGATCTACCATGAGGACAAATTCGAAAAATACTTCGAACACAAGTACGAACATTTCGGAACCTTCGATTATTCCTACTACTCTTATTAAGAGATGTTGTTAACTTTATGAAACGATGATATTAGTTTGTAAGTAGAGCAAAGCATGTTAAAGCACAGCAAAAAATACAAAAAAAAAATAAATTAGAATAAGAAATCAGAAGTTTTGAAGTTTAATTTTGAGGGATTATAATCGATTACAGGTAGCGGTACTTGTATTGTTTGAACAAACTCGATTAATAAGTGGACACAATAAGGTTTGCGTTGAAGTACTTAAGGGAATAATTTTTTGCATTAATGAGAAGAGTGGCTGTCAAATTTATTTTGTTAGAATTTTGAATGTAATGAAGATACGTCTTATTATGTCTATTATATATATAGAATAACTTTGATTTGCACAATGAATTTAATTGGAAATATATTGATTCGTTTAGTAGAAAAATATTTTCCTTTTTTTATATAGTATGTGCAGCGCTCTAGTATTAAACTCGAGTTCTGAATGAATAATATTGTGAACATATTGCGGAAAAATATTTTTGTTGTCATTCGTATATAATGCATTTAAACAGCAATATACAAACCGATCTTGTAAGGCATGAAAACAATGAACATTCAGATACTTGTTAAGCGCAACTTATGAAAGTATAATAGGTTCTATGCAGAAAAATATCTTTAACAAAAATATATATTGATTAAGTAGGAATGCTTCGATGTAACACATCATTGTGTAAGTTTGCATATATTAATAACGATAGAAAACGCTTTTAAACAAGAGTTACGCTTATACAGACAAATACGCAGCCTTTTTAATTGCAAGGGTACCATACTGTAATAACGGACTTGATTTTATCAGGGCGAAGTGGATAGTTTCCTTATTTACTCCATCAAAAAATTCTGAATATGATAGAAATACAATGCTAGCTGAACTTCTTAGAACTTTTGAAGCACAAGAAAGGTATGAAATCTAAGGAACGTAACTTTAATCGATCTGGAGTGAGTTCTGCATTCCAATTGACAACTAAACCTACAATAGCAAAAATTAGCAATGTTAATTCTTCGTTTGAATTCAAGGCGGACGTTGTTGTTATTAATGCAGGTAGTACAAAGATTAAAAATTTTATAGCTTCAAAGTAAAATCACTTGTACCAATATACTACTTATTCTTTGTTTCCACCTATCATAGCCGCAAGTATCAGCAAGGAGTTCGGAGATTTGGTATTGCTGAATTGTTGAGAATTATTTTGCAGAGGTGTATTAGCTCTGCAAAGATGACGATGTTAGATACTACAGCGTTGTTCATATCCCTTATTGAGTTATGAAAGACTGTTTAACAGTCAAAAAACGAGTTCTCTAGGAGTTATTGTGTTATGAATAACTGGTCAAAAAGGAAACGCCCAAATCGAAAACTGAATCGATAAAATGCAGCGATTGAATAAATTTGGTGTTTCGTCAACAGATCGCTGATAGCTTTGAACAATACTGCGAGCAATGAGCTCTGTATACAAACGAAAAAAAATAATAAATTCATAAAATCTCAACTCTTTCTAGTTTTATTTATATACTTAAAGCTTACTGAACAATACACGGTTAAATCACATTGAGAAGTCGTCATGCAAGAAAAGTCATATTGTAAAATTAATATCAAATATATCTCAACAAGTCGTCTAAGAAGTCTTATATAAAGAACAGTCAAATTATAAGAACAGTATATTAGAAAATCTGAAAATGACTAAGATACTAATATACATTAAGACCGAAAAGTTTTCGGAAATTCTCATTTAAAATTCGCGCGCTGTATATTTTTCGATATTTTAAGTTTATGTAGTTTGGCAGCAATTAAGGACAATTACTATGCCAAAAATGAGCGCGATCTGTCAGACAGTTCGTTTACGGCAGCTGTTGAAACCAGTTCACCTCAGTAGTGCGTTGCGAAAAAAACAATGGAAAAAAATATTGAACAAAGAGTTTGCATCAAATTTTGTGTTTCGAACGAAATTTCGTGTGCAGAATCGTTGCGAATGCTACAAAAGGCTTATGGGGAATCAGTTTTATCGAAAACTCAAGTTTATGAGTGGTACAAAGCCTTTCAGGACGGTCGTACGACCGTCGAAGACATTTCGCAACGCACTACTGAGGTGAACTGGTTTCAACAGCTGCCGTAAACGAACTGTCTGACAGATCGCGCTCATTTTTGGCATAGTAATTAAGGACAGGGCTGCCAAACTACATAAACTTAAAATATCGAAAAATATACAGCGCGCGAATTTTAAATGAGAATTTCCGAAAACTTTTCAGTCTTAATGTAAGTGTGATATTAGTTTGCCAGAAATCGATTACATTAAAGGATGTTTTTATACTATATACCTCATTATTCGTATTGGGTTAATGAATTACATTTTCATTGTTATGATTTCATAGAATCCTCGGAATAAGCTATTTCTGTGGGAAACTAATAAATTTTTCAGGATGAGATATATAAATTTAATGAATTATTTAAACATGTTTTTACAAAATATATTTTGCTAGTTGAACTTTATAAGACTACATGCTTCCCTTTAGGTTTCAAGAAGGTGAACAAATATCAATGTTGTGTTATAAGCTCTGGAATAAAGTATGTAATTTTCTTAAACCCTTAAGAATTATTTCAAGAATGGAACCATGGGCCACATTTACTGAAATGTTCTTTAAAACAAATGCCATCACATGATTATAACATAGACATTTCAGCAGGTTCAAGTGAAATTTCTTGTTATGACAAAAAAGTTACAAATCTTAGGTTTACACCATTTGGTTCGTTTTGAATATATCATTATTATAAATTAAATTTATTTAGCTTTAATAAACTAAAATATTAATTTAAATAGTAATTTTGCAAAAACACGATTAAAATAAATTGAAATAAAAAATTTATTTCTTTTCTCAATTGTACCAATACTCCTTTTAAAAGCATTTTTTCATATCTAGACAAAAGTACATTTACAAAATACTACATGAAAATAAGTTTATTGATCAATAGCTAATGACATTTAGAAGATGTCATAATTTTAAACAATTTATTCCCTTAAAAGTCACAAAAATGGTTTACGGTTTCGGTATAGTTTGATCCAAAATGAGACTACATTTGACTATATCTCACCTAGGTAAGCCACGAAATAAAAATCCGACTAAGAGTAGGTTTAAACGATCAAACTTTTACAGTCGATAATTTATTTTCGTCTCATGAGTTGCGTCTACAAAATACCGTTGTGATCATCAACATGTGCTGTAGATGAAGTTCAAACCAAGGTTTATATGTTTCCCTCATATACCAGGGTACTGTGTTGATAAGCGACTGGCACAAGATAGTTGAAATCGATACCAGTAGAATAAAAAAAAAAATAGAATTGGTGTTGATTATAACTCGATAAAGGGTTTGCCATTTCTTTTATAGTTTTCACAGCTTTTTAAGAATTTCATTCTTTTGCTTGGGATAAGTATTGGGACAAAATACTTTATTAAGAAAATGTGCAATATGCAATCGTTTTTGAAACCTCCTTGAAACAGCAAAATTTTTGATTTAACCTTTTCTACATTTAAAACGAAGTGAATATAAATTTTAAGTCCATATGCTTACTGCTTGGAATTTATAAGAAATAGCTTGAAATATTGGCCTACATGCTCCAAATGCTCCAGGTTTAAAGCCGTTAATATATCCTGAATATATTCTTATTATAAAACCTATGTAGCACAAAACTATTCTTTAATTATCTCGAATAAGGAATGGTTAAATATAGAAAATATTTTATAATACAAGTGATGATATCATTGATATGGTTGCATAAAAGCAAAAAAGATAGTTAAGGAAGCCATTTAATATCTATTTTTAGTACTTTTTCGTGAGCTAGAATGCCTAATTGCCTTTTGTGGCCAGTCAATACATTCATGGATCATATATTCATTTAATCAAGATAGGATTCAGTAACTGTCATGATGGAAATATCAGAAGAAGGAGGAGTGGCAACATCAGAGCGTTTCATTTAGAAGTTATATCAAATCTTATGAGATGTTTATGCTTTCACATATATGTTATGCATGTATAAGCACATAAAAATTATAAAAACAAAGATTTTATTTTTTGTGTGAAGTGAATAAATTATAAAGAATATATATAAAAATACATATTTATATATCGATTTAGATTAACAGTACCTAAAAAACTATGAAATAAAATTATTCAGCACAAAATCTTCAACACTAAATCATAACTAAACTGAACATTTGAAATTCATCAAATATTTTATTTCTTTAACACCATATACTGCTCTCCACTACACCGAAATCAACTAAATTTATTAAAACTCTTATCTGTAATTACGAAAATATGTGCTCAGGTTGCAAAGGTGCAAATCTCTATTTGCGTACCCACAAGAACCTAAATGGTACATAACACGAAATCTACAGCGGCTGTTATCAAATAGTTCAGCATAATGTCACCTATTGCTATTATGCTTCTGCTGATATCAATGCAAATTAGGTCAAGAAGTTTATCAAATGCTAAAAAATAAACACCGAAAAACAGTTCCATGGTGAGTGCTGTGCTTAGAATGCAACGATATCATTTAGCTCAGTTGGTATAAAAACCGCGTTGCACTTAGCTTAACTCAACAGTCTTTGGGCATTAGAGCAAAGAGCGTCTAATCCGGACCAGTTGTGATCTTGAGGACAAATATGAAATTCGCAATTCTGTTATTGGCCTTGGTGGGCTTTGTAGCTGCGGCCAGCTTCTCCCACTCCAAGGATGTCAAATACGCTGACAAGGACTTCTTGTACAAACAAAAGTTCTTATTTGAAATTGTTTATCGTGTGGAGGATCCTTTGATGTTCGAGGAATGGATTAAGTTTGGTGGTAAATTCTTTGCTGACAAGTCATATTATACAGTAAGTAACAGAATAACCAAAAATGCGTATACAATAAGATTTTGTTCGTATTTGCTTAAATGAAAAAATTGTTTCTTTACTTATAATTTTAGCATTATGATGTGTACATGCAGAAATTCTATGAAGCCTACAAATATGGTGCCCTCTTACCTAAGGGTGAATTCTTTGGTGCTTTCGCCAAGACACACCACAAACAAGCCTGGGGTCTATTCAACTTCTTCTACTATGCTAAGGATTGGGAGACCTTCATGCACAATGTAGCATGGGCACGTATCCATGTTAACGAAGGCATGTTCGTCTATGCACTCACCTTGGCTGTGATCCATCGTCCTGACTTCGAAGGTTTGATCTTGCCCATGATCTATGAAATCTTCCCACAATACTTCTTCAACAGCAAGTTCATCTATGAAGCTGAGAAATTTGATTACGATGTCTGGAGCAAATATACCATGTATGAAAAGGAATACAAGGATATATTCTATAAGGAAAATAAATACTACTCCGACAACAAATATTTCTACACCAAAGACTGGAAGACATGGCAATGGTGGAAAATGATGGGAGTCGGCGAACACTGGTATCATGATGATAAATTCTTTGTCCGCAGCAACTATGAAAACTTCAGCAAGGATCCAAAATGGGCTGAAATTATGCATGACGTTAAGGCTTGGTGGATGCCAGTTGACTATACTCGTGATATTGATTTCTACAACGATCACTCATATCTCTCATACTTCACTGAAGATTTGGACTGGAACGCTTTCTGGTACTACTTCAACATGGATTATGCTTTCTTCTTAGATGGCAAGACTTTCGGTTTGAACAAGGATCGTCGTGGCGAATTATGGATTCATAACTTACAACAAATTACTGCTCGTTACTATTTGGAACGTTTGTCTCATGGCTATGGTGAGATTCCATACTTCTCATACTACCACGCTTATGAATTCGGTTATGATCCAGAATTGATCTACTATAATGGTGTTGGATACAGCTATCGCAAGAACTACTATGAAGTAGAGAGCTACGGCAATTACGAATACTTGAATCACATTTTCAACTACTTCAACCGTATTGAAAAGATCATCGATGAAGGTTATTACACTGCTGCTGACGGCACTAAATACGATTTACGTGATCCTAAATCTGTTGAATACATTGGCAACTTCTTACAAGGCAACTTTGACTCCTTCGATAAATTCTTCTTCAACTATTGGTACCTATTGACTCAAATGTACTTCGGCGGCGTTGACTACCATCAGTTCGATGTATACCCACATGTCTTCCTCAATCCTGAAACCATGTTGCGCGACCCACTCTTCTACTCTTTCCATAAATTGATACTTGAGAAATTCTATTACTTCACCTACCATTTGAAATCGTATACTTACGAGGAATTGTACTTCCCAGGTGTTGCAATTAAGGAAGTGAATGTTAACGATTTCGTCACTTACTTCGATTTCACTGACTTTGATGTCACCAACTTGTTGAACGACAAAATGGTCTTCCATGATGGTAAGTTTGTTTGGGATAAAACACTCTTGGCTCGTCAATCACGTCTCAACCACAAACCATATCACTTTGATATCATTGTTGAAGCCGATAAGGCCTATGATGTTGTAATTCGCACATTCTTGGGACCCAAATACGATGAATATGGACATGTGTTCCCATTGAACGAAAACCGTTACAACTTTGTACAAATCGACAAATTCTTCTATCATCTAGAAAGCGGCAAGAATGTTGTGAATCGAAAGTCCACTGACTATTTCCGATGGGTTGAAGATCGTACCACATACTCAGAACTCTACAAATATGTGATGGCTGCTTTTGATGGCAAATACGAATTCCCATTGGCTATCAGTCAACCACATTGTGGTTTCCCAGAACGTTTAGTCATTCCACATGGTTGGGCCAAGGGTATGCCAATGCAACTCTACTTCATCGTCACACCATACCACGGTAAATTTGATAAGCACTACAGTTTCGATTACACGTACTCTTGCGGCATTGGCTCTGGCACTCGCTATGTTGATGACTTACCATTCGGTTATCCATTCGATCGTGAAATCGATGAGTATGAATTCTTTGTTCCTAACTCATTCTTCAAGGATGTCAAGATCTACCATGAGGACAAATTCGAAAAATACTTCGAACATAAGTACGAACATTTCGGAACCTTCGATTATTCCTACTACTCTTATTAAGAGATGTTGTTAACTTTATGAAACGATGATATTAGTTTGTAAGTAGAGCAAAGCATGTTAAAGCACAGCAAAAAACACAAAAAAAAAATAAATACGTTTCAAGTTTTTATAAAAAATTCAAATACCGTTGTTTGGTTAAAAGTTTTTAAGATTTTGATATTTGGGAAGTCGAAGATTTGAGTAATGAATAAAGTTTTAAGGACAGTATTGTCATATATGCTGGATGGAAATGGCTTTACAAGAGTGTGTTTGGTATAAATCAAACCGTTATAATAGTTAATGGCATTCGAGCAGAGTGTTTAATTTTTGTAGTTTGTGGTCGATTCTGAACTTCTGAAGAGTTTATATAATATGTGGTGAAACAGTTTCTGATTAGCGATCATGTAGAAGGAATAACAGAAGGGATAACAGCCATTTTTGGCAAAGTCAGAACAAAAATGTTGGTGCGGAATATTTTTCATTGAGTGGATTATGGATAATTGAACTGTTTATATTAAATTGTAAAATTGAAATAATTTAGATTGTATTGTTCTAACAAGGAGCGAACTAGTTTCGCTCTCTGAGTAATAAAAAAATATGAGTTTTGTATGCCTTAAGTTCCGGAGTGCTAAGTTTAACTGCCACCAAAAAATGAATACGACTGGGTCTGTGGACAGCTACATACTGATAAGCAATTTTCAGCACTGTAAATAGGTATTGTCTGTTATAAGACATCCTTAGGATGCCTTCTTATTGTTACTGATATATAAATGAACTCTTGTATTAACAGATGTAATTAGTACAACTGCTTTGTCTGTATGGCACTTAGGGTTTATAGAAACTAATAGGGAAAATAAAGAACGTAAGAACTTTTATCGGCAGCAACGTAAGGAACCCTGCTATGTCACTGCTTGTTATAATAAGGTAACTACTATGAAGTTAATAGATATTTTGCTGGCAGTTATTAATTTTGGTGAAAAATTTTGTCTGTTCTTGGTGTAAATCCTTTTAGGAAATTCACAATTTTATGGCAAATGAATTGCAATCAATTTGTCGCCAGTTGCGTTTCGTTTGGGAATTGTATCTATGCATGGATACTGAATTTCATCATTTGATTTTCATTAAAGGACTTTTTACTTTCTGATTTGTGTTTGCATTCAGGTTTTGGATTGGAGTATTATTATTGTAAATATAATTTATACATGTAAAGTTCACTTAACTACAACTGCAGCGATGGTTGCGTACCGCAGTATGTGGCAAGTGCACCATATCCATTTGATAACATTCTGATCGAATTTAACCGCAAAAACTAATAATAAAATGCAGAATGCTGAAAATGAAACCACAAACGGTGATTAAGTGAGGATATTCATACACATGTGTGTACATATGGAGATGCAACTGGCAACTGGACTTCAACAGAGTCTCACTTTAAAAGTAGTTTCAAGGGTATGCAGTGGCTTTAATATGAACTAGGATAAATTGCTGAATGCGTGACCAATTATAATAAAGATACGGGTATATAGATACGGGTATTGTTTTAAAGGATATTAAAATTGACAAAAAGAATAATATATGCAATATAATTTAATAGGAATAGAAATAAGAAATATTATTTATCATGGACATGAAAATATATGAAATGTGACTATAAACAGTAGACTTTTGTAATAAATAATAAAATTATATGAAGTACTTTTAATGGCCTCTTACGCGTTGGTGACGAGTATCGAATTAGTTGGAACGATGAGCTCTATGAGCTATACCGCGACATTGATATAGTTTAGCGCTTAAAAATTCAGTGACTTCTCTGAGTTCTTCATGTCGTACTAATAGAAGAAAGTGTTTCGGCTAGAAAGGTGTTTGATTCGGTACCCGGAGGAGGAAAACGCGTTAGAGGACGTCCGCATCTTCGTTGGAAGAACTAGGCGACCAATGATTTGGGGGCGTTCGGTACTATCAACTGGCGACAGCCAAGTAGGACTCACGTCTGTAAAGGTCAAGTAAAGAAAAGAAGAAGTTTTAATGAGTTATCAAGATAGACCTATTGTAACAGCTGTGACCACTTCAACGAATTAGCAAAGTGACTTTTGTCATATTGTTGCTATCATAGATATAAGTTTCTGTTATTAACCCGTACAGTTATACACCAATCTATCTTAAAAGGACTCCAGATGACAGACATCAGTAGTTCAACATAATTAACTTTTCACGTTAAGAGTTTGTCTATAGCATAATAAATCTTATGGGTCGAAAAACTCCATTCCAGCAACTTTCGGCAAGTTTCTGTACTTTTATCGGAAATTTTTAGTCAAGTGTTTTTGCATATTTGTCATCTTCTCATACTATTTGTCAGTCCCGTTGTAAACATAACGCATTTAAAAGGTTTATATCAGTGCTTCGAACCGGATATTTTTTCGTTTCGGTTTTCGTTTCAGTTTAAAAAAAAGAAATATGTGGGTTCAGTTCCGATTTTTGTCACTGCAGAAATATCGGTTTTTGATTTTCGGTTCGGTTCAGGTTCGAAGCCCAAGTCAATATTGTACAAAATATTTTAGAAACTGTCCAAGAAGTCAGTAAACTAATATCAATTTTAGTACTAAAAAAAGAAATTATTATTTCAATTAAAAATATTATTAACCCAATAAAATAATGCAAACAATTATGTTGTTTTTCCCGAAACATATGTCCAATATTTTGGACCCACTTAATGTGATCGTTACATCAAAATTGAATCCAATATAACAAACATTACTGGTTACGGTATGTAAAGTAAAAATATATTTTCAATATATAAAAAAATTCAAGCAAAAATTATATATCTGAACTGATCTTGTACTTTTCTCCAACTTTTATAAAAAAAATAAAAGAAGAAATATCCACTAGTCAAAATTTATTTTAATGTTGATAAAATTTTAGACAACTGTACTAACTTTGGACACAACTAAACTATACCATGAAGTATTCAAAGCTTTAGTACTAAAAACATATTTTTATAAAGAGTAATGAATATTTTAAAATATTTTGACAAATACTTTTTAACACATTAATTTTTAGGTTTTAGTGCTAAAAAAACAATAAACGTAGATATTTTCAACAAAAGATTGTAGAATAGGAGAGTAGTTGTGTGAAAATATACATATATATGAATTGCAGTTTATTCTTTGGACATTACTAAGTTAGCTTAGGTTATACCGGCAATTTCAAACGATCCACTTAAGCCTTTAGACTCACTGTGCTACTGTATTATTAAAAACCTGTACGTTAAAACCATTTACAACCATTGGCAAAGCTTATGATGTTATTCAGAGGAAGGTCGTGAAGTTCACTAAGATCCTAAAAAAAGAAATCTGCTAAAGTGTTAAGGCTGCGGCGCGTATGTGCCGGACAGATGCAAAGCAGATGGGAGGCACTTTTATCGTCCTCGCCATAACTGCGGCATATAGGTTGAAAGGGATACGCAGTCTCCTAAACCTACTACTGATGTCCTACCGAGTTTGGACATTACTAAGCTATACCAGAAATTACTAGGAGTTTTAGTACTACTAGGAGTTTTAGTACTAAAAACGAAAACTTTTGAACTAAAAACGGGTAAAGATTTTTATGAACTTTGAATTTGAATTTAAAGTTGATTATTAAAACTTTTTTATTCTTTAATTTTCATTAAAATTAAATTGAAAAAATTTTGGTCTGCGGTACTGTCTTTAAAAATTTTTAAATTAAATCATAAAGTGTTCTTTAATTTTACTATATATTTAGTACATCCAATTTGTATGGTTGAAGTACAAGCAAGTAAATATGTCAATATGTATATCTGTAATATATCTGCATGACTGGTAGATACATGAAATTTGTGATTATGCAAATTGTGGTTTACTATACATTTGCAAAAATATTTCATTGTTTGTTAGTTTCACATTTACTTTTAGGTTAATTTTAGTACATACACGTACACATTCACGTATGAAGCTTTAGTACAAGTGATATGGTTAGTTACATATATGTAGAGTGTTAACATAGATAGAATTTTGTGTATTATTTACCCATTTCTATGGAATTTACTTTCAGTTCGTTTTTAGTAATTCAATGATTTTAGTAAAGAAAATTTGAGTAGAAATTTGACCACAAAAATATAGTATGTCTACATATAATATAATTATATTATTATATTATATCATAATATAATTGAATCGTGTCTTTTCTTAAATTTAATTTTATGTTTCATTGACAATATACTAGACTAAATTATCTTGTTTTGGATGAATTTGTAAGTAAATGCACAAGTATGGGTATTTTAACGGATAACTCGCTTACCACTACAACTAACAACAATTACAATTGAAATAGTCATCATCTGAAATGCTTTCCAAAGGACTCGAATTACAAATGACGGCATTAGGTTTCCATATCAGCCGTTGGCGATAGCAGTGACGAAGGCATTGACACTGTTGTTGCGCTTGCTCTCGACGTCGATGTATATATTTTGGTTAATTATGTTTACTGAACTCAAAAAGTCATATTTTGTGGCAATTCTGAGTTTAATTTTGTGGTACTGTAAACTCCAAATTCATAATTTTATAAAGTTTGCCATTGTGTAGTATGCACACAAGGGCAATCTAGCAAAACTGTTATGTTAACACTCACTCACTGCCCGACGACAACAAGGACAACAATAGTAAGCAGACTATAAAACGTAGAGTGACGGTAATTTTAGAAGCAAACAAGTTATTTTAATTAGTTTTTATATCGAGGAACAGCCCGAAAGAGCAGCTACTTAAGTGGTAGTAGACTAGGCGTACATGTGGCCATCATTGAAATAGATAGCAATACTAATTGTTTTCGTTAGTCAGTGAGAGATGCTATTAAGACACATATCATATATATATGATATGTGTCTATATATCATTTTGAAAAATGAAGAACAAAATCTTTTAAAAAATATGTGTCCAATGTGAAAGGTGCCATTAGGAAAGTGATATTAAGATATCATTAAAATAAACGTATGGTGTGTCTATTCAACTGGTGGCAGCCCGTCAATAATTCTTAGGCTGACGTCACCGCTTTCTAGAAAATGTGATGGACAGGATAAGGTTGCTCTTAAATAGCAAACTGCGATGTCTACTACAGCTGTCACGAAAATAAG